AAAAAAAAAAAAAAAATTTAACTTTAAAAAGTAGCAAATTGTCCATTAAATTTAATTGAGCAATCATGCATTAACTGGTTGGTTCTCTTTAGTTTTAATTTTTTAAAATAACTCATGCTCCAGCCACTCAGATCTGAAAGTGGTCTGCAGGAGAAGCCAGTACAAAGAATCAGGATGGCATTTCTTAAAGTGGGTAAGGATGGTTATATTACATGTCCATGCAAGTCCCAGCAAAGATTTTAAGCTGGTTAGACCTTGCTGAGAGATAATGGGGAGGCCCTGCCATTTTGTTTTCACCCTTCACCAAATGGGACCCTGTTTCCAGCTCTCTTTTACCTGAACCTGCTTCTTTGGCTACAGGGAGAACTCCTGGTGAAAATGCATCCCTCCTGTGACTGAATTGGAGAAACAAGAATAGAAACATACTGATCTCTCTATTCTTTTGCATAGGCTTATGTACTCACAAAATGGCAGTTATTGACCTATCCTCCACATGGGCTTTGCCTAAACAGGACTCTGCTTATTTCCATCTGAGAAATGCTGAAGAGGAAAGGATGATTGCTATATTTCTGACAACCTGGTTACAGGAACCAATGACCTTCAAAGATGTAGCTATAGAGTTCACTCAGGAGGAGTGGATAATGCTGGATTCTGCTCAAAGAAGTCTATACAAAGATGTGATGTTGGAAAACTATCAAAATCTCACCTCCGTGGAATATCAATTGTGCAAGCTTACTGTGATCTCACCATTGCATCAAAAAGAGATAAGGAATATGAAAAAGAGAAATCTCCAAGGCCTCTGTCCAGATCAGAAGATTCAACCTAAAACTAAGGAATCAACTATGCAGAATATTTTGGGAGAGGAACAATTCAATGCAGTGAACATAAAATTTACAATGGATAATTGGTCCTCCACATTAAGAGATGACTGGGAGTGCCATAAGATCAGAAAACAGCGTAAGATTCCTGGGGGACATTGGAGGCACATGACATATGCCCCAAAGGAAACAGTATCTCAGAAGCTATTCTGTGGCTATCATGAATTAGAGGAAAACTCTAAACATAGATCAAAACTTATTTTTTCACCAAGCATTTTCACCAGTAAACATTGTCAAAATTGTTACTCAGAGATTGGATGTTTGAAATACAATTCAATCATAAACAATTATGTGAAAAACTCTGTAAGTGAGAAGCTCTGTAAGAGTCGTGAATATGATACAAAGCTATGGCATCTTCAGAGAAATCAAACAGTACAAAAAGAGTACATATATTCTAAACGTGGAATGCACTTCAAGCATAATATATTTACTATACCTAACAATTTGCATGTGGCACAGAATTCTTGTGAATGTAGTAAAAACAAAACCCTGTGTTATGAATCATCCCTTAAGAAACAAGGGCAAACTCATACAGAAAAGAAACATGAATGTAATCAATGTGGAAAAGCCTTCAAAAGGATTTCTAATCTTATTTTACGCAAGAAAAGTCACATGGGTGAGAAACAATACGAATGTAAAGAATGCAGTAAAGTGTTCAGTGATTCCTCAACTTTAAGGAGACATTTAAGAACACACACTGGAGAGAAACCCTATGAATGTAATCAGTGTGGAAAAGCTTTCAGTCAAAAAACATCCCTTAATGCTCATGTGAGAACTCACACTGGAGAGAAACCTTATGAATGTAATCAGTGTGGAAAATCCTTTGGCACAAGCTCCTACCTTATAGTGCACAAGAGAATACACACTGGAGAAAAACTCTATGAATGCAGTGAGTGCGGAAAAGCCTTCAACACGAGCTCTCACCTTAAAGTTCATAAGAAAATTCACACCGGAGAGAATCTTTATAAATGCAGTGACTGTGGGAAAGTTTTCAGTGGACTCTCATCCCTTAGAATGCACGTAAGAACTCACACCGGAGAGAAGCCCTATGAATGTAAGGAATGTAGGAAAGCCTTCAGTGTTTCATCTTCCCTTAGGAGACATGTGAGAGTTCACACTGGAGAGAAACCCTATGAATGTATCCAATGCGGAAAAGCGTTCAGTCAGAGCTCTTCACTTATTATACACAAAAGAATTCATACTGGGAGAGAAATCCTATAAGTGTTAGGAATGTGGAATTGCTCTTTTCATTGTCTTAAGGTAGATTCCAATCTCCTTGTCTTAGTCTTTGTTCTCTAGAATAACCATTTAAAGTTATAAATCTTTCATAATATAATACCTTGTTCTATAAATACTATCTAATGACTTTTTTGATCCATGGCTATCTAGAATTAGGTATTTTTAGTATATGAGCTATGTATATTTTCAGTTATCTTTTTATTGTTGGTTTCTAAGTTAATTCTATCATTTCTGGAGCATCTGGACTATATTTTACTGCTTTGTTGGTGTTTTTGTGAAAGTTGTTGTATGGCCCTATGAGGCTGCTCTTGCTAGCAGCCAACCAAACACTGAGCTCATCTTTCCTTACTAATGAATTCCATTTTAGTCAAGAACAACAAGATCTCTGGTTATAGAATTCTTTGACTTCTTGTAGCCTAGGGTAGCCATGTCATTCATTCCTGCTGATTCAAAAATAGACTGATATCACTGGGAACAGAACTATCTTGTCCTCTACTTTTTGCACTTTACCTTTTTCCCTATGAATTTGCCATTCCTAGAGCTGCTGAAAGAGCTGTCTAGTGGCCATGAGAGTGACAACTGTGGCCTAAGGATGAAGTAGAAGAAAGAGAACCTTGTTCTTCAAAGAAACCTTTAAATAGTTGTACCAGCCCTGCATTGCTTTCTCCCATAGAAATGTATCGGACATGTTTCTATGGGAGAAAAATATATTAATTGATATTTTTCTTTTTTTTCAGTTTTTCAGACAGGGTCTCTGTCAGGCTGGAGTGCAGTGGTGTGGTCACAGCTCATTGCAGCCTTGACCTCCTGGGCTCAGGTGATCCCTCCTCAGTAGTTGGGATCACAAATGCATGCCATCATGCCTCGCTAATTTTAAAAAATATACTTTATAGAGACAGGCTCTTGCATTCTCTACAGGCCGATCTCAGACTCCAGGTTGGTCACAAACTCCTGAGCTCAAGCAGTCCTCCTGCCTTTGCCTCCCAACATGCTAGGATTACGGGCATGAGTCACCATGCCTGGCTCTTAACTGATTTTTTTTTAAGCAGCACATAAATGCAGTCAAGGCAGTCACCGTATTGTAGAAAAAAAAAAAAAACCAGGTATATAGAGTTAACAGAGTTAACTTTTATGTTGAATGTATACATTTGAAGAGGAACATAGGAAAAAAAGAGTATGGAAAAGGAATGTTGACAGAACTTTTGTGCCTACATAACAGATGAAGATAGAGCCTAGATCACTGAAAGCAAGTGTTTAGGGCAGCAAAAGGATTATTCCAACATTTCAGCATTGGAACTACAGAAAGTTTTCAGATAGAGGGGAGGTTACCAATTTTCAATGCGAAATAAAGCTTGAGATTTTGCTGGTTGGTCTTGCAGATTCTGACCAGGTTAGTTCTAATTTGTTAGGAAACAACATATGGAAGGGACAGCATATGGTGGAAGAAGGAAGGCAGTAGTTGCTGTTTTAGTTATTCGTATTAACTTCAGAGGATATTGAGAGATCCAGATGAAGAGGTTGGTACGCAGTTCTAGACCTGAGGAGCTGTCTAGCTAGAAATATAAATTTTAATGACATTAGCAAATAGACTATTACAGACTGTGAAGGTGAGTAAGAATGAAAAGAGAATGTCTGACCTAGCCTGAAGACATACATTTAAAAGAACCATAGTAGAGAGATAAGAGGAAAACAAGAATGGAGTTTCAAAAAGGAAGATGAAGTTGGCTGGGCACGGTAGTTCACGCCTGTAATCTCAGCACTTTGGGAGGCCAAGGCAGGTGGATCACGAGGCCAGGAGATCAAGACCATCCTGGCCAACATGATGAAACCCTGTCTCTACTAAAATATAAAAATTAGCCGGGCATGGTGGCACG